ATAAACACACACATATATATATATATATAGAGAGAGAGAGAGAGAGAAAGAGAGCAAGAGGGAGAATCAGTGCTATGCAGTCAACAGTGAGAAAAAACTTTTGGTGAAGAACCTGGCCTATCTTCATTCCCAGTATATATTCCCACTCCTCAGGCCCACAGTTAGACTGAAGCTCAATGGGAAATTCCTGCTAAACTCAGGGGCTTCCCAAATAGACATAAGCTTCCTCCTTGTTCCATGAAGCTTTCCCTTATTACACCAACCGAAATGCATTGCCCCCAGCTTTTGAGTCCCTAAAGCATTCATGTTCCATATGACTTTAGATATACTATTAACCAATATAAATATTTTGCTATTTTTTCTATTTTTTAGCAAAAAGAAACATCATAAGGTGCAAATCCATTCCCTACTACTATATTTCAGATGAAGAAGCTGAGCACCAGAGAGATGAAATGACTTCCTTAAATACAACTGGGAGACCTAGAACCAGAATCCAAATCATGTTCCTCCCAGGTTGATGTCATTTCATTGCTCAAGGGTCTATCAACCATTTGTCAGTTATCTCAAATCTGTTTTCCATTGATTTTTCTTTGTATCTTTTCTCTTAGTAAAACTATAACTTGCATGTTATTTCCTAAGGATAAGCACTAAGTTTTACACCATATATAGCAAAGTTCTAAGGAGGGAAAAAAAAATAATCCACAGGCATCTGTCATTTGATTGATTTTATCAAGTGATGCTTTCCATCTAACTCAGGGCTGCAGCTAAAGTATAGCATTTTCTGTTACCTTTCATCTCAAAATACTTAGATAAGATTCACGTGCCATGTCATAACAAGAGTAGAATTGCATTTACATTATGTATACTCACTCACATGACTCTTTCTTACAACCATCTCTATCAATACTAAGTGACAATGATAACAAGACTAACAAATGGATAAAGAATTATCATATACCCCAACCTTAGGTACTGTTGCCTCCTTACCTTAAGTGGGAGAAAAGTAAAGATTAGCATACTGAAGGAGCCGAGGAATAGCAGTATAGCTCCCATTGAGCAGAGCCACAGCTTCCAGGATGACCTCTGTGCTCCTTGAGAAGGCATGTTCTCCCTGTGGCTCAAACTCATTTTCTGAAGGAATGACAGCTACAGAAAGCATATATTCACAAGTGATGGGTGAATGAGGCAATGTCATGTCTTGTAGTAGTATTATAGCAAGCAGTGGGTGTGGTAGGTGGAGTTTTCCTTCTGACACAGTGTTGGAAAATGATACTTATAAACTAAGTGCTGACTCTCATGTGGCACCAGGCCAAACATACCGAAAGGAACGGGAGGCTAAAAGCCAACACAAACACAGAGAATGAAGCAAGCCAAGACCAAGGAAGTTCAGAAGGGAAAAAAAAATTCTTTCCTGAAGCAAGAGGAAGTATGTGACGACTGTGAGCCTTAGAGAAAGGGGGGGAGAGTATACCCATCTAGGAAAGCATTCCAAATTATTTTCAGAGAAGAAAATTTCTTTTTATAATAAGAAATAAAGTTTAAGGTTATTTTTCATTATGATACAGATACCATGTACATGTGAGGCAGGGTGTTAGAGAACTGAAGACTCTAGTTTGCGTGGTTTGAAAACATAGTTTCAATCAGGTCATCACATTGTATTCTTTATTTTTTAAAATTATTTTATTGAACTTTATTTATCTTTATCTTAATTTGATCAAAGAAAAGGGAAATGAGAAAGGAAGCTGCCAGGTCTGGGATTTGAACCACAGTCCACCATGTGGGAGTCCTACATCCTTAACCATCACACAACTTGCCAGCCCCTATATACTTTAAATATATACAATTTCTGCTTGTCAGTTATACCGCAACAAAGCTAGAAAAAGAAAAGAAAATCTAGAGTCACAAAAAATGTTTCATCTATTTCTGGTATTTTTTAAAAATGTGTTAATTCTGAGATAGTCCCTAGAAAACATCAAGGGTGTTACTACAATTTAATACAAAATTATAAATACAGCAAGCTCAAAACTCTGAAAATTCAATGCTGGCATAAAATAGACATAAAGTCCCCATACAAAATGGTCTCTTTCTGCACCCTGCACCCTGAATCCAGCCTGCACTTATATTCTTTTCCAAAAACCAGGTTTTCTTCTTCACACCAAAAATGCTGATTTAGTACAAAACGAAGAAAGTCCTTTATTCTCTGTGCCTCAGTGTCTGTCTGATAAAATTTAATGTCTATATTTTTACAGAATGCCAGCATCTTATGCTAGAAAAAACATGGGCTTCTAAACCAAGTAGTCCTGAAAGCAAAGCCTGGAACTGCCCAGTTCTTATCTATCTACTCTGTCATCTTACACATGTTACTTGACTGTGCCTCAGTTTCCTTAATTGTAAAATGGGAAAAAAATTTATACTTCAGAATGCTTTTGTAAGTATAAAACAAATGTGAAAAGTTCCACTCTTAAGAGAGATTCAGTAATATGTTCAGTAATCTCTTCTCTTTAGAGATGTGAAGATTCATCCAATAATGGAATCCTAGAAAAGAATGAGCATTCCTTATATTTCCCACAGGGTTTATTTCAACTGAAATGAATGTCAATAAAAGGAGGTAAAATGACAGCATTTTAGAGAAAAAAAATTTTTAATCTAAGAAATTATCAAAGATCTTTAAAAAATTTTTAATCTAAGAAATTATCAAAGATCTTTAAAAATCCAGAGATTTAACATCCTCACTGATGAAAGAGGAAGCTAAAATAAAAGAGGTTGACTGTTGTCTGAAAGTACTAATGACTAGTCAGTGGTGGAGTTGGAAACCCAAACCCAGGGATACATCTTGGCTTAGCACTCCAGTATTTGTAGCAATATTACTCACTTAGTGACCAAGATTTTAACATGGTCCTGTTTCACCTTGGTCAATAAACCATGTCTAAAGAGAACAGTCACACAAGAATTTTTCATTATAGCAATGTCTTTGTGACTCTGTCCTAGATGGCACTAACTCAGAAATGAAAAAGTTAAGAAGGAAGCCTTGATTCTATACCCCTTGCATTTATATCATGTCAGAAATTCTTATACACAAGTACAGAATTTTTAATTGACCACTGAAAAGTTAGGCTAATTTCTTCTTGCTTTTCTGATCTGCTCTTTCTCTTGTTTCCTCTCCAAATTTTAGATGAAACTTTTCCTGCTTACTCACTTCAATAAACATTTATTCAGATGAGGAACAGTTCCAAGTAAGATCCAGTTCCTCCTACTGCCTTTAACCAAGTTTAGGTTCTGATATATCCTGATTATTTTAACTTTTTACAAGTATCTTAAGATGATAAGCTTATCTCAAGAAGACTACATTCCAGGACCCCTTTTCATGAAACAAAGTTCAGAAATGAAGAAACTTTAAATTAGGACTGTGACCGTAGGAAAGACTTGTTAAAATTCTAGAGATATGAGTCACAGTTGGTACCTTTTTGGTACAAGTTGTCTGGATGGCAGGCAACATCTCAGGATCTTCCAAGAAGTACACAAGCATCAAAAACAAACTGTTGTATTTATGATCTCTCATTGGTTCAAATGCTCAAGGAAGAGATTTTTTTTTTTTTTCAATTAAGTCCAGCTAGCCAGTCCATGTTGAACCTTATAATCTACCCCTATTGGGTTGGAAGTTGAAGTGTGTATTTAAAAAAAAAAAAAAAATTACAGCTGCAAGGAGTTTCTCACTCAACTGAATTAAAACCTTACACATAGGAGACAGAGGCCTGAATGAGTATTCTGTAAGACACTGCCTCAAATACCAGAACAGGCTAGATAAGCAGAAACAGTTGCAAAAACGGATTAAAATTGGATTATTTCAGAGGAGAAAGGATGATGCACTTTCTGGAGGGAGTGATAAAACTTGAAAAATAAGTATTCATAGCTTTAAACATCTGCAATTGTTAGTAATTAAAATAAAAACTCAATAAAAACAATGACAAAACACTCACTTTTTAAATGAGCCTAACAGCCTAATAGAGCTGCAGAATAGGACTATCATTAAAGAAAAAAAAAAAAAAACAGTAAAATAAAAACCTCTTTCTGTATTTTCTAGATTGAAAAAAAAGAAAAGATTAAGCAATTTTAACTGCATCCATAGTTGCTTTGAATTTAGAATGTATTAGTTATATAACAACTTGGTTGTAGTTCAGTTATTAACTAAATTACACTAAAATGCATTAGGCACTTACTATGTGCCTTCTTTGTGCATAAATGATTTCACTTAAATATCAAGCAGACCTGTACTACTGTCTCCACCTACACAAATGATGAAACTGACACTCAGGAGGATGAATCATTTGCCCACAGAGATAGAACAGGGCTGGATCCCCACCCAATAGACTCCAAAACTCATGTTTTTTCACCTCTCTTTATTGAAATATATGTCATGTAGATTCTATGGAGTAAACAGAGTGGAAATATTTTAAATTCTGTCAAAGAGTATTAAGTATACATCAGCTTTATTCAAAATTCTGTACTAATTCTCACCAAATTCCCCTTATACTACTATTTATCATGATTTTTTATCATTATGATAGCCTATGATGTAGCATATTCAGTCAGAAATATCCTATATGTCAGAATTCAGTGTGGAAGAAGATACAACTGACTTTGCCTACTCTGAGTATCAGAATATTCATTGTCACAAGAAACAGCTCCTTGGTCTTGAAGATACATGGATGGATAAACATAGATGATAGATTACAGATAGATTAGATAGATGGTAGATGATTGATAAGTAAATACATACACACAGAATCAATAGACTGAGATGATACATAAATAGGATTTTAAACTTTGAATCTTATGAAGTCAACAAGAGTATCTGTTATCTAAACTAATAAATACCTACTGTGTAAAGAGAATTGTGTACAACACATTATATATAAATAGATGTGTATATCTGTATCTATATATTTATTTATATCTATCTATATATCTATATATCTATATCTATATATACATGCACAGATGTCCATATATACATACATGCTATATACACATGTATATATTGTATGTACAGTAAATCCTAACAGATATGTTGGGGCGTCTCTCATCAGTCTCCAGATAATCTTCTATAAGAAGCTAGGTCAAATTCAAACCTTGTCTTTATTCCACAACCTTGTGTTCTATGTCCCTATGTTGTCTTGCTTTGTCTTGTCTGGTTTCACAAGTCTTTATCTCGGAACTCTCACCGAATTCTTTATGGTTATCTATATTTTCCTAGCTCAAGTACAATCTTTAAGTAAAGTCTACTGGTCAATGTTCATGGATGCTGAGCTAGTTACCTGTCTTTTAGAATGACTGTATAGTTTTGTACATTCCTATTTGTCTGGCCTGAGACTTCTATGTCAATGATGTGTTGTTCTGGGATAGTTGTGAGAGTATGTTGTATGTGTGTCCTTTCTACACTCCTGACCATGGGAGAAGCATCTTAAACACCTCTGATGAGAAGTGTGACTTCCTGCTTGGATTCTGGATTGAAAATAGACTTTCCATGATGCAATATGGCATGACATTTCTTCTTTGGAAATATCAAACATCTCCCTAGAAACTATACTGAATGGACATTGTTGTTAAATTGCATCTTGCCCAATATCACATAGATTTCAAGAGAATTATGTATTTCATCTAGTTGAAATAAAAGGGTCTTAAGACTCCGGATATTAAATCCCCCCCCCCCCCCAATCTCCTGGACTTCCTTGAGCAGCCCTGGAAGAGGGTATTTTCCAAATAATCTTCTACTGCTCTTCCCATTTGACAAGATCCTAAAATTTCTCTCACCAAATTAGTAAATATCAACTCCAGTCAGCACACTCACTTCTTCCAACATTCAACTATGACGTGTGTTCTTATAAAAATCTATGAGATATTTTCTTAGCTGGCTGTCCATTCTTTAAATTTTTATTTTATATATTCAATCACTATACATCATTTAGCTTGTGAAGTGAATTTACCCAACATGAATACACTTCACACCAGTCCAGTTGAGGATACTATACATATTACCATCAATAGATAATAATCCACTTCTGTGTCCCATAAATGTCTTGCTTCTCTATGTTTCTCCTTAATTTCCTTCCTCACACTCTCCCCTTTCTCCCACCCTCTTCCCACACTGTCTCCATTTTCCATTCTTCTATATCCTCTAATTTTTCCGTTTGTTCC